TGTGAACTCGTATACTGCATCATCAACTACCTCTTCACATTTTCCTCGCGAAATTTCAACCAAAAAGATTCCCAAAGAAGAATTTTTCCCTTTTTTGACATCTCAAAAAAAATACAAGCTATCCTTAAAAACGTTTTTGGATAGGAGACCAATTATTCAATCAATCAGTAGGTAAGACTTAACGTCATGATAATGACAACAAATGGCGGTTATCGAAGTGCTCAAAAACAGTTCATATCAATCAAAATAACCTACCATACCACACAAAAACATACCCAATCGTCCTTATCATCATGAGATATAGCAAAATCTTTCATGTCAAGCTGTTAAATCTTATCCACAATCATTCTTCACAAAACAACTTCAACTGTGCACGGTTAGTTATATGCAATCAATTGCATAGTTAGTTCAGCTGTATGTCAGAATCAATAAGATGCACCTCATTCTCCCATCTGAAACTGAACAATATGCTAACATGCAACATACCTATCGCGATCATAGCCTCGTTTCGACGAATCTCGATCCCTGCCACGGTCATCTCGTCTTAACGAGTAATCTCGATCACGAACTCGATTTCGATCAAACGATGATCGTGAACGACGTCTTCTTGGTGGTGATCGACTGCTGTATAAGAATTACTTAATTTGAAACATAATCAAGCTGAACTTACCGCATCAATTACATTCTACTGACGTTGCTTACTTAGACAGAGAGAGAAAAGAACATGGACTAGGCTGTAATCATCGATTTTAGGATGTGCAGTGATCAAGGAGGTTTTCCAAGTGAGTGAAACCACAAAAAAGAATTATTTGGTTACTCAAAGTGAAATGAATGCAAAAAAGGGAAACCAATCAAAGATCCGAGAACGATCTGGGAATTCGACAATATCTTCTTCTCAAAAACCAAACTAAAAACCTAGAAAAGGTGTTAGATGTGCAAAGCAAGATGTATATTATCAGAGTGAACCAAAAGTAAATGGTGAATAAATCACAAAAATACGACGTCGATATGTAACAATCATTTTCGCTCAGATCGTTTTGAAGATATCAATTTGGAAGAGTAAAAATAATGATTATAAAAGCAATATAATAATAATAGTAATAATGATAACAGTATCAATAATAATAATAACAATTACGATTTGAAAAATGGTATAGTTTATGCTATGTAATTTTATGTATCCACTTCATTTAAATCTATGACTAGCTACAGAAGTATCTTTTCTTTCGTTTCTAGAATTTTTTCCTCAGAAAATTTCTAAGTAATTTTTGTATATCACTCCGATTTTTAAGACTTACATATGTTCGACCATGATCGCGTTTAATAAAGATTGCGTATATAATAACAACAACGAAAACGTAACGCAACGCAGTCAAATGATATCATATCATACAGACAAGTTGGATACAACAGGGTACATACCATTATACCAAACTTATCACCGTTTTTTACTAAAAAACAAATCAAAACTCATTTCAACGAATCAATCCCGTTTCAAATATACAAAATTAAAAAGTGAACAATAACGGCTCATTAGAGTCAAAAACCAACCTTCGTCTACGCTCATTTCTAGCATCCCTAAAATCTCGTCCAACCTCTTTTGAATCTCGATAATCTCTTGTCTCACGACCCACATCATTTCTAGATTCACGTTCACGATCTTTTCGATCGCGATCACTGAAACAAACAATACTAAATAACGATAATAATATAAGAATAATATCGACAATTCAACAATATTAACCTTCGGAAATCATCTCTGCCGTTCATACCAAATCTCACTTTACGCCATTCAGCTCGTCTACCTTCAATTGTTTTCTAAAAAAATCAAACATCAAAACAAACTAATTCCACGTGAATTATGCAAAATTTCCTTACGAAAAGTAAATAAATATTTGTGATTCTCGAATTTAAAATTCTATCAAACTCAGAAGAAGTCAAAGATGTCAAGAAGAAAACTGTCAAACTCAGAAGATCTATTCCACAAACGAATGCCCAAATCACAAATTAAAATTCCATGGATAGTCACTTCAATATTAACATCCGAATCTAATTCCAAATCGCGAATCTTCGGAACAAATAATACAAAATAATCATAACAACATTCATATTTCCGTAATAAATACGGTAACGACAATAATAATAAATCGCCACCGCCAGCACAACAGTAAAAAACTCCCACCTTCATCTGCTCATACCGTTCGCGAATCGTTTCCATTCCAACGTGCATTTTACCGCCATAATGATCTGCTAGTCTTGTCTCGTGTTCCATTATACTTAGTTGCGCACTGCACATTTCACACACTCGTAAACGAACTTGCGGTGTATTCAAAACCGTACGCATATCATTCTAAATGTTTATTATCACAATTGCAATTGCCAAACAAATAATATCAGACTGCACCTCCAGATCTTTTTTTCGTTTCTTCAGCTCTTCAATCGTCTTGGACAACTCCATTGCCTCATCAACCTTTCCCTCATTCCCCAACGCTTCCATTTTCACAATCGTTGTTCCAATTTTTTCACCTAATTCACCGATTTTTTGAGTCTGAAAATTTCAGAAAAAAGAATGAAGATCACACCGTTCCAATATAAAAAATGAAAACTGCATCAACATTTTTACTTTTCATAAAAATATTTCTCCTCAAAAGAGTGACACAATTCACATTCCCCTACATATCACAAGAATGGAATGAACCTTTAAAATTTCCGCTTGATCTGTTTCATTCTCGCAATCACGCTTCAACTTCTCTTTCGTCCTCTCAATTTCTTTATCCACTACTCTAACTGCTTCTTCGAGACGATCGAACACCTTGACGAAGAAGAAAATTCTTTTCGACATCAAACATTCAATGCAATATCCCAGTGACAACAATAACATATAATATCAATATAATAATAATAATATTATTATTATATTGTTATTGTATCTATAATTATAATTAATGATGATATTAACGATAAATAAATAAAACAGGAAACAACAGCCTACGTCAACATCATAGAAATGATCTTTCTCTTTCTGAGCATTCTCAAAATCTGCCTTATGTGCACTTTCGTGAACCTGAAACATATTGATAAATTACGACCTTTAACAGAATAATCAACCTGATTATAAAATATCACAGTAACCATACAGTTCAATGTATGGAGTTCTCAAACGATCAAAGCTTCAACAACCTAAACTATACAATTTTTCTGCAGAATTAATTCAACAAGAATGAAGTAAAAAAGAAGATAATAACAACAGTTACATTGTCCAACAATTTGTTGAACATTTTATATGGAGGGAGGCATTGAAGCAGCAGCACTGATGCAACTGTTGATCAGAACAGTCAAAGAACCAACCTTATGACAGGCTACAAACGATTCTAGTCGTGTATCTGCTAGAATCTCGTGCGGACAACATCCAAGCAAAAAGGCACGACACACCGAATGATGATTATATGGAACCAGCTGACGACCCTCTTCTTCTGCTCGATTTGAGCCCATCAATTGGTTGATCATATCGCGCATTTCAGCGGTCATCTTGCTAGACTATTCGACACCTTCAGTTAGAACATATCATATTCAACTTAAATGCAAAGAGCACAAGAACAGCAGTGAAATGATCTCAAGCCCTTATGAATCGATGGAACTGAATCACCCTACGAGATGAGATACATTTCTATGAATAAGAGGATGAAAACAAGAAAAAGAGTAATCTTGCATTTTGGGTTAAGGAGGAAAGGGGTGTGAAGAAAATATTGTGGAACTGATAGTAAATCTATCTCCGAGGTTCTTCGATGTGTGAAGTAAAAATGATGATAAGCCAAAGTCCAACTCATCGATGGCAACTGATTCATGCACAGAGGGAAGGATACTTGTCTCTCAAAGAAAATAGAATTGATGCTAAATTTCCAAAATTCCGTGAGTTATGAAAGAAGTAATGGCGCGAACAGCAAAGTGATCTCTGAAATACATTTATACGAAGACACGAAGGCACGGACGGCGAATATGCAAAAGTTGTACGAGTCGATTAAAGCGATTCCGCAGACATGTGTCGAAACCTGCATTTTCTTTTATTTGTACGAAACTGAGAACGCGAATGAATGATGCAACAGACAACGCTTTAACGTTTCTGAGAGTTTATATCAAGTTTCACTATTTTTTCTTCTTTGAATCTGTTGGTGTTAGGTCAGTCATATTTCTATTTTTTTCGTGACCATGTGGTGATCATTCACTCTATTGAGTTCCTATTTTGATTGTTTCAATAACTTTTTGCGGTTCTGAGAGCTCATCTCGAATTCCCTGAATCTTATTCAAATGACTCCTCCTACTGACATTCTTCTGGGAGAGGTCTGCAAAAAACAAAAACGCAGATTCAACTACCGCTGTTTCGATGCCACCGCGTGCAAGCATGCAACGCGGTGATGCGTGCGTATTAGCGCTGGCGCGCTTACGGGTGTGCGCGACACGCACGAGCCAGGCCCATACGTAAGCCTCTTGACTGGGCAAAGCGTTAGCCTAAGCATGGAATACCTCTACATCCAATAAAAAAGGACGGCCAGTATGGTATATCACCCAGCATGACATCACAATCTACTCATTTCTTAGATATTCTTACTCCACTACGAGCCTCGGCTCGTTCAAACGCAATCCATTGGTGTAGCTCCCTCTTACTATATCTACCTTACAGAAATGTTCGTTCTTTTAAAATTATCTATGAATGATCCTTCCAAATGAAGTCGTTTCAAGTTTCGGCGAAGTTTGACCAGAAGTTCATCAGATCTGACACAAGGTCTCAGTACAAAAATGGAGATTTTATAAAAAATAACCATACACTCGAAAACATTCCCAAACCTTCTGAGAAAAAAGTGATACTGATGAGCAATGATTAAATGGTTCAAATGCGAAACACAATGGAAAATCGCGTTTACGAAAAATTTATTTCCAGAAGTGATCATAAATGTGCAACAAGATGTTAAACCGTCTAATGCTAGATTTTATTTTCAAGAATGCAGTTAAATGATGCTGAATTTTATAAAGTATACAACAACCTCGCAATAAACATAAAATTGTCCAGCAAGAACTTTTAAATCATTTCGTGGAATGTTCGATGATATTGAATGGGTGAAGTTTTTCACCTGGAGATTAGGCAAAACTTTTGCAAGAAAGTGACAAACTTTTCTTGACGACTTCTTCTCGGTAATAACAAAACTGAATCAACGAACCAATCACACTAATTGAATAAACAAATTTTAAAAGTAAATAAAGTATTCACTGACTTCAGTTTCATCAATGGTCTAACTATTACAGCTTTGATCTAACTAACAGATTTCTCCCAAAAAGGTCTTTGTTAAATGATGGCGTCAAGTAGCGGAACGTTGAGCATTACTCTCAAATTAAATAACTAAATAAAAATTTGCATGTTTGCTATTTCTCCCCAAGAACATTACAAATCAAGTACACTTAAAATGTTCGTGAAAAAAGTGTTTGCGAATGAAAGAGAACAAATGATTATATTAGTGAATGGCTTAATTCACGAGTAAGCGAATTTGTAAAAGATGAATAAAAAACAACGAATAAGATATAAGTTGGTTAAGAGTTTTGGAATTAACACTTCAGTTAGCATCTAAGAAAATATTTATTCAACAACAACGTTTCGACTCATGAAATCATAATACTGGGTTGTTGCACAAGTTCGTGCGCTTTTATTTAAATTGAATTATTCCAGCAAAAGTCCACTTTTCCGGAGGAGTGCCATACACCAATCGATAGCGTGTTTTCTGCTCTTCACAACTGTGTTAGACGGTCTACTGCAATTTTGTTTCGTTTGGATCTTTGGCGTGAAGAAATGAAATGTCAAATGGAGGAAAAAACGCGTTTGCAACAATGCTACTCTGTGCAATCAGGGCTCAACGGTCGCTTGTGACATTTGCGCCGTATACGGAGATGATACGATGCTGGTAAAAACAGCCCAGAAATGGTTTGCGAGGTTCGTGAAAGGTGAAGGGCGTTGTGATAGGCCGGTAAAGCGGCTGCGATGTTGGGCCGCTGATGAGAACATTTGGAGAACATTCTGATGGATGGGAATATTCAAACGCCTCTGGTTGAGATCCAACGTCCAATCTGA